TTAGTGCGCTGACTGTTGTAGTATAAATTTTTAATACAGGAATATCTTGCAGCAGAAGTAACGTTTGTCCGAAAAACTATTATTAGAATATTTATTATATATGTGATTTTTTTTAAAGGCCGCTGCGCCTGTCAAAGTCAAAGTCAAAGATTATTTATTCCATAGGTAAAATAAATTTACAATTGAAAACGTCACATTTAAGCTACTGCTCGTTCACTACGACCTCCCTGTGAAGAACGAGCAAGAAACTCTAAGGATTGCTCTTTTCAAATAAATTTAAATGCTGTGGAATACACTTTGAATCAAATTTGTGTGGATTCTGGAGCCATGTCGTCTTTCCATACATCTTTATCTAACACGTAGTCTTAAATTTGGTAATATGATTTTTCGATCAAAATATTTTTAATGTAGTTTTTAAACTTAGGAATTCATAAACTTAATATATGCTCCGGAATCTTATTGTAAAAACGTATACAGTTCCCCATAAAAGAGTTGTTTACCTTGGTTAAACGAAATCGTGGTACCATGAGTTTGGACTTAGCTCTAAGGTTAATATTATGGATATCTTCTTTCTTATTGAAATTATGTGTATTTTTACGGGCATATAAAATATTTGAGTAAATGTACTGTGATGCTACAGTCATGACCCCAGACTCCTTAAACTTTTCTCTGAGAGAAACCCGAGAGCCTAGACGGTACACAGAATGAATCACTCGTTTTTGCAATACAAATATGGTTTGAATATCTGCCGCTTTACCCCACATGAGAATCCCGTAGGACATTATACTATGGAAATAACTAAAGTAAACTAGTCTAGCAGTACTAACATTGGTAAGCTCACGTATTCTGCGGACTGCGTATGCAGCAGAGCTTAATCTGCCTCACCTTGATACATAAGTTGACAAGTCTCGTGTGCCTGTAATTTCACCAGCAGCCTTGTCCTTTAAAACCGAAACACAGAAATGCTCACATTACTGCATGGCGGGAGAAATAGGTAAGGTAGCAGTATTTCCCTGGACGAACTCGTTCACATGGAGCTCTACTGCTATCAGTTCTATGAATTCCATGAATTCTTTGAGCAGAAGTTTGTTTGGTCAATTCATGTCTAGTGTACTGTCTGTTTTCCATGTAGATTTCCATTTAGATGGCTGTTGTGGTTAGACTACAGAAGTGAATTTGTTTGCATTTCCGAAAATGTTTTAAATAACTATTTATTTAAAATGCAAACAAATTCACTTCAGCAGTCTAACCACAACGGCCATCTATCTAACGATAGCCGTTCCGAAGTTAAAGTTGTTACTCAAAGACTCTACTATTAGAGTTAGAGAAGTTGTTACTCAAACACTCTAATAGTAGAGTCTTTGAGTAACAACTTTAACTTCAGAACGGCTATCGTTTTTTTGTACAAAAACTACATATTCAACTCGATACATTAGACAAACGGTATGTTGGGGAAATAGGAATCGGGAAACGTATACATTGACAATATGCTAAAATAGTGAAACTTGTGTATGAATGAATGAATGTTGTGATGAAATAAATTGTAACGTGTTTCCGGAAAATTGAAACAAAATATATTCAATAAAAGTCGAAAGGTTTCCGGATAAACAAAATTCTGTAAATGAAATGGCAACATCTATCTGAATTGTCTCTTAAAGGATTTGCAGACTTTATTAGACGATGCATCACTCAATCTACAGTTCAAATTCAGATCTACAGTGAAATATGGTTACAACAAAATGGTTTGCTCAACACATTATCCTCGTTCTATAACTGACTATTCGAGCACAACGTAACATAAAATTAATATTACAAAACAAAACCGAAAGTGGATTGAGCGCTTTGATTCAATTTTGTTCTCCGGACCTAAACCCCCTTGAACAGCAGGAGTATATTTAAAACCAATAGAAAGTTCAGCCGAACTGCGCCACAAAATTGGTGAAGCAGCAGAAGAAATAAATACGAGGCGATTCGTATGATTGGTACAAAGATCTTTTCTGAGACGATGCAGAACTCGTATTCGTTCCGAGGGCAAACAATTTGAACATTTTCTGTAGCTTTACCGAAAAAGTAATGTAATACAAGCATTACAAAACTTACATTCGTTTCACTTAAGTTAAAACATGCGACATTAGACTGATATAATTTGATTCACGCACTTCATTGACCTACCATAGCTCAATGACGCACAACTATTTATTCGTTACGATTAAGAGTTACATAAAGAAGTCCTTTTGCAAAAAATAAGCAATATTTTTTAGTGAATTAAAAAAAATATTTATAAACAAAATTTGTAATGAAGAAGTGATTTGTTTTACAGAACCGAGAGAAATGGCAGAAACTGAAGGGGGCCTACACTGATATGGTTGAGAACGGCTAGGAAAAAAAGATGACTTTTTTAATGAATTAAAAAATATTAATTAATTAAAAGTGGCAAGTTTTATACGATTTAGAAATCTTGATTAAATGTGCCACCTTTTAAAATGACTTACCTAGGGCAGAGTAGTACTTTTTTTAAGATATGAAGTGTCAATTTTATAAAGCATAACTTTATCTACTAAACTAACAGCGTTCATTGTTTCATTTGACTGCGTTTAATAACATATGTGGATTACAGTACCTAAAGAGGTAGTTCCCGCTCGACGTTGAGTCTTAGTATATCCAAAAATCTCAAATCTCAAAATCTTTAAAAAGATTTAAAAAAGCCTCGATACAAAACAGTGTACCCAACAACTCGTCGAAACCAAATTAACGAGTCCAAACACGATAGTTGTACTGTGAATAATATTCTTGAATCACTTCCCCAGTAATTTCGTAAGTTCTTTATTGTTTTCTTTGTTGCTTATACAATAAATGCTGTGTACGTGTGTAATAGTAGTATACACATATAAATACACAACTAATATAAAATTACACTGTTATCTAAGATATATTTATATATTAATGATTGATTGATTGATGATGTATGTATTTCATGTGCTACTATTGATGTACCTCAACTATAAAATTAATAAATAAATAAATAGCAAAGAACTATCTCCGTTTAAGTAATTAGACAAACTTAGAGATAATCTACTAGAGACAACTATATCGACCGGGTGAACAGGTAACAAAGGTGCTCGGAAAGCTTGTTTATCATATATCTATTACTTTAGATGCAATTTGAATAGTAACCTCATGACATTACAGAATATTCGTCAGAGAGGGCTTCAAATGTTTGTAAATAAACTTATAGTTCCTCTTGCGAGCTAAATCCTGTTACCATTCGAAATAGAAATGATAAAATATTTTACGCGGTTGCAGCAGCAGAGGATATTTTATCAAGTTGGAAATTCATGGCAAAGGAATGGATTAAAACTATTTTCTATAAGCTCGAGCTCCATAAATCTTGTTACACTTCATGGATTTCTGTTTCTAGAAAATAATATTGCATATAATAACGCATTCATTTCTGTACACGAAAGTAAATTCTCTATGCGTTCTAATTGAGATTATATGCAGTAATATAGAGATAGTAATGAAAGGGTTGTATCCCTAACTAGCCGTGAAGAGGTTCACGGCAGTGAATCGGGAAACTCCGGTCCACAAAATTTATTAAAAGAAGTAAAGTTAAAAGAAAGGTCTGTAACAATAAAAAGGTAAATGTAAAATAAAAACAGGTACAACAGTATAAAACACTCCCTACACTTTATTATTAAGGCACTTACCCCTAAATGGGCCGAGTAACTGAATTATAGATATAGGTACACGAAGGCTGTAGACTGTTATAAATTATTACACATGATTTAGCTTATTTAATGATTATAAACGTAGTAAAGAACCAAAATTAGCGATTATACGCGATGGAATTTGAAACAGCTCCGACTGTGGCGGTTGAGCAGGGAGTGACCGTGGTACGAAAACAACATGAGAAAGTGAAGGAAGATGGAACAATTTAAATTTAAAATTTAAATACAAGTAAAAGAAAAAATGATAGGATACAAGCGGAGAGAGGCGATACAAAAAGGTGAGATGACGGTGTAAGGAGATCACACCGTCACTGTAATATAGCGCACATAGGACTCTTCTTTCAAAGCTTCTTTATAACACACTCAGCGCGTTAGAGGAGACGAATTGAAACCTTGCTCTTATTACCCGTAAAACAGATTGAAAACCGTGCATTGTACGCATTGATCTCAATGATTGTACGGGAGGCAAATTTCCTGTAGTAGCAGAAGTAGTATAGCCTATGTTAGATTCAGTATATCACCAGTATTTTTGTGGATTTTAAGTTTTATTGTACGGATTAAAACACTGCTGCTTTGTTTCCTCTTTGCTTCTTTGCGAGGCAAATAAACCAACTAAAAGGTATTATTACTGATTTTGGATTTTAAAACTGTCAGATTATTTATATGAGATATACGTAAGTATTATTTAAACGATATTTATGTTGGTAAGAACTTAACGAGGAAATTTATGAAGTCTTAAATGTAAGCCGGTATTCTAAGTTTTCAATTTCCTCTCCTTTGTATCGCCTTTCATAAACTGTGATAGGTTCGCTTATACTTCGCCGTATATATAGGTATAATTTTCTACTTCAGGTTGTAATCTTTGCGCTACGAAGGCATAAATGAATATGAGCTTGATCTCCAGCCCATTTCCAGCAAGAGTAGGAAGTTATTTCTTGGTACTATATGAACGTATGTAGCAAGAGAAATAGGATATTGTAATTTTTTCATTTAAGTCAGTAAAAGATCTTTTTAACCTAATATTTAGTGAAATCATTACGTAATTAATTCCCAATCTGAATTCCGATATTGAATGTTAAGTAATAAATTCAACTAGAACAAAGACATACTTTTTAAATTTAGCGAATTGTGGTCGTCAGAAGACAACATTTTTGGAGTAACTTTTGTCGTTAGCATTTAAATGTTCTGCATAGAAATTGAAAGATTATTATTTATCCCGTGAAAATTGTTACTATCTTTCGTGTAAATATAGTACTTATATGAATAATTTACCTGACGTCTTCCAGCTCATAGAACATGTCCTTGGATGAATCATGTATGTAGATCTTCACTAACGGACTATCAAGATATTGCATAGTTAGTTGTTTGGGGAAGCTTCTGACGAACAGAGCCTTGACGGTGTCTATCGAAGTAATTTCGTTCGGCAGGAGGGCACGCTTTGTTTCGTTCCTATATTGGAGGAACACCAATCCTGCAACAAACAACAATTAATTAGTTAGTAGGGGGTGCAATATTTTCTTGGGAACTGTATTGATAGAAAATTCGTTATCAACAAAAATACAGTATTCTGAATATCCGATATGCAAACATTATATGAAGAGCACTTTTTTTGGATATATGGATTACCCTGCCTTTTCGACATAGTTAATAACAATTTTACGCGACATTCGAAATTTTAATTGCTTTGAATTTTATATCGAGTAGCACACGAATATTAAAAATATTTTTAGGAAATTGAAGTTTAAATTTATTACATTTATGACGGAGATGATATGGTGTAATTGAATGCATAGTTTATATCTAATTTGTATCCTTTACTTTAGTTATTTGTAATCGATTTCTCCCAATAGGCATATAATATAATATAACTAGATCGATTTACATACCCAAAGGTCTTTCCAGTGTTTTACTGGGCGTCCGGACAACCGGCAATGAGGATCGCTGCTTCCCCCCTCGACGGAAGCCAGTTGACGCCGTCTCCACTTCTGACATGATGCCAGGATCATCGTCAAACAGAAAGTTGTTCGTCGGGGGTGGGTATCGCGGTAGAGGAGGCTGTCAAATAATTATTTTTTGTTCAAATAGGTACATATCTGATAGAAAATGCGAAAGTAGAAATTAGTAAATTGTTAGTAACGATAGAAGTCATAATGATGTATGAACGTGGAATGTTTATTAAGCGTGTCTGAGCAAAAATAATGTGAAATAATGAAATGTGAAAAAATTTTTCGATAGAAATATATTTAATAGCAAATCGTCAATGGAATTCACTGTTCATACTTTCGAAGCCTACGCACCCTTATTATAAGTACTAAGGAGATTTGCACCCTATATACACCTCAGTCATATGACTTCATATGCACGTCATGTAAAGTAACGAACTTATCGTGAATTTCTAACTTATTTGATTTAATTAGGTATGTAATTCAGTATTGTAAAAATAATTATCAGTTTAATTTATTGGCTATTTTTATTCCTTTGTACTTGTACATGTGTACATATTATTAGTATTACATTATTACAACATGAATTGTTATTAATTATGTGAAAGGATTAAATTACCGACATAAAATTAACGGAGACGCTACTCGCGATTTTCTACGTGCCATTTTCTTGGTAACAGTTTACGTTATATGCGCCATTAATATCAAAAATAAGCATATACAGGGTGTGATCCACAGTTCAAACAAACAACCTTGGTTGTATGATCTGAGGTGTAATCGTTAAGTGTGCCCAGGCGATTATTCCATGAATATAAAAGATAGAAAGTATGTTACCTAATGAGTAAATAAACATTAATAACTTTTTAAAAATAAAACTAGATATATTCAAAATTTTATCATTACACTCTCCATTAATACATTTAATATGACATTCATAGAGAGGCTTTAGTAGACCTACTTTTAGAGGTAACAATAAGTTTATAGATAACAAAACTGCTATGAATAAAGTAATCAATCTTACAATTGAATAAAAATATAAAGGCCATAATAGTCAATTATTTGGTCAAGTGTGTGTTGTCTGTAAAAATGAATAAAACTGATTAAATTTACTTTACAGCTGGTCGACTCAGTTTCATGTAAGGATCATTGCATTGTATGGGTCGAATAAAAATGGGGTCAGCAGAATTTGGTCAAATTAAAAAAAAACGTTTTTTAATACAGAATGAACAACCTTTGACTAAATTTGACCAACTTTTGCTGTCCCGATTCTTTTCGTCTCATACAATAAAACGATCTTTACCTGAAACAAAGGTGATCAGCTCTAAAAAAAAAATTTGATCAATTTTGTTTATATGGATAAATGAATATTAGTTATTGTTCTGGGGTATGATGAGATTGGGCTATGGCTACAATAAGGGAAGCTAACTAAATAACAAAATACTCAATATATCACAAGTCAATAATCATTTATTCCATAGGTAACATTTTACACTTGAAAACGTCATTTTTTCAGTTCATTGTGCTAACTTCCCTGAGAAGAACGAACACGAAACTCTAGGGATTACTCTTTTCAAATAAACTTAAATGATACTTTGAAGAATATTTTTGTGAAATCTCGACTTGTGCATCATTCCATATTTGTTTACCTACAACACATATCAATCTTTAATTTTGTAATATGAGTTTTCAATTAAAATATTTTTAATTTAGGTTTTAAACTTAGGAAATGATAATCTTAATAAATGCTCCGGAATTTTATTGTACAAAAGTATACGGTTCCCCTTAAAAGAATCCTTTACCTTAGGTAGATAAACGATATCGTGGTACCATGAGCTTGGACTTAGTTCTAAGGTTAATATTAAGGATATCTTCTTCCTTAATGAAATTGTGTACATTTTTACGGGCATACAAAATATTGAAGTACAAAACAATCATCATCAACCCATTTATACGTCCCACTGCTGGGCACGGGTCTCCTCTCAGACGAGGGTTTAGGCCGTAGTCCGCCACGTTGGCCCAATGCGGGTTGGGGACTTTAAACGTTTTCCGAGAGTTATGATGAATCGTCTTCGACGTGCAGGTTTTATCACGATGTTTTCCTTCACAGAAAAGCTCATAGCAAATTTCAATTTACATTAAAAAATTTCAGAATTCAGTGGTCTATAATTTCGTGCTGTGGTAATTATCATACTAACTAAAATACTCGTTAGTCGGATACCAGGCAAAACCGCACGGTATATTACAATCTGAAACGTTTTGCGAGTATTTTGTAAGTGAAATAGTAGAACATGTGTTGTTCAGTGGAAATATAATGAATTGTGGGATCTATTAGGCGAAAAATAAAATGATTAAAAGTTACAACGTAACGTTCCCGGAATTAGAGATCGCACGATTTTTTGCTTCGAATCTATTTTTGGATCGCAATACCTCTGAATCTATCTCATAATAATCGTTTAGAAATTAAGTTTGACAAAAAAATATATTTTATTTTCGGCTTCTTTAGAGTGATATTAATCAATAAGAAAAGACATTCAGATGACACAGAAGTAGCAATAATTGCCAAATATCGTAGACTTATTGTACGTACTTTAATGTTGTTATACTACTTTGTTATAGATCAATATAAAACAGGATTAACCTCACGATTTAATCGAGGTTCAGAAAGACTATTTTGTTTAAATTATGAATACGATCTGGATGATTCGATTCGCCTTAATGTTGTATCGATTAGCTTAAAAATCAAATTGCTATGAATCTATATAAAACATCGCTAGATCGTACACACTCGAAACGATTTTCATAATCGAGTCGTAACGTGCATCCCTAGCCGGGACTTATATATTTATGAGTGTTCAATTTTTGTATTTTTTCTGAATAGTTTTTGCACGAGAAGGTAATTGTGATAAGTTGTGTATAGAATCACACATAATTACGCTATTTAATAAAGCTGCATTACATGGCGCCAAAAATGTACAATAATTTGCCAAAGGAGATTAGATTGATTAATAATTTTAATGAATATATAAGACAACTATTAGCTTTTTGTAAATAGTACTTTTCACTCCTTGACAGGATTCTTTGACAGTAATTATGACATGTATTCATGAATTTATTTTTATAAATATCTTTTGCAATGTTACTTGCAATATTTGACAATTTCATCAAATTGTAATAAATAGTTGAAATTGCTTGTTTGTAATTATAGTAAATAGTTGAATAACATATATTTGCATGTCAACTATGGTAGAATATGCTGGATTTATTTAATATAAGATCATAATGTACCTTATTTGTGACAAGTCTGTTCGGAATTCTATGAAGTGGAACTGAACCCACAAATAATTTGTTTTTTAAAATAGACATGAACTTTCAGATATTTTATTTATAATCATCATTACCATCATTTCATCCGAGAGTCGCCCACTGCTGAACCCAGGCCTCCTCCGAAAGAACGCCACAAATACCAATGTTATGCTGCATCGAGTGGTGCCCCGCCCATTGCCATTTAAGTTTTGCAATTACTTGGGGTATGTTAGAGTAACGGACGTAGCAAATATTCCCTTGCGGATATCCTCATTAATGATTCGATATCGCAGTGAAACTCCGAGCGTAATGTAACAATAAGCAAATCATAAAATATATACATTATTTATCATCACTACTACACATAAGTACCTACCAGTGGTGAAGAGATCACATAACGCAAGTCTTATACTGATTAATCGAAGCTTAACATGTTATAATACAGGAATCTAAATTCACAACACTAATTAATGTCTAACAAATAATGTACCGGACAATTTTACCCGACGCAAAGCCGTTTACTAAACAAAACGCCTGACGGTTTTCCCCGACGACTTTGCCACCGAGATCCGACATTCGAGATAATTTACGGGTGGTAGTAAGAGGTCAGAAAAGTGAATACAAAAAGAGCTTATTCAAAATATGAATATTATTACATTATTTGATAAGCTATCGTCGAAAACTTTTGTGCAAATAAAAATACGGAAACACGGAATACGGAATCCAATTTTGAAAACTTAGTATTTAGTCAAATTTACTCCTTTTGCACATTAATAGCAATAATTTTCTATTTATATATTAGATACATAATATATAAATAATAATGAATTATCCCATTTTGAAATTTACTTTAAACACACATTATTTTAGAATAGTTGGCCAATCAGGTTATCATAATTTTTTTTTATATCAAAGAAAAAAAAATTATGCACTGAAAAATAAAATAAAACTTTTTTTTAAATTTAAGTGCCATAGTTAGTCATACTATTTACTGCCTATCTATTAGCACAGTTAATGTAGAATATTATGACACCAAAAAACCGAAGGAATTGATTAGCTTGTAGTCGTGATGTATAACAACGTAAAATTTGGTGATAATAAAGAAATGAGAGAGAGAGAAATTTGGTAATAGAAAAAAATATATATCTTGTATATATCTTGTTTAAAAAGACTTCCGCGTTCATATACAATTGTGAAACTGAAAACCTTATAGCTGATAGTTCGATAAAAAAAAACCAAAATGGCGTCGCGTTTGATGCTCGTAGAAAGCGTTGCCGTCGCGGGCTGAAGGGTAATAGTATTATCATTTAAATTGAGAGTTAATTATGTAAATCTACAACCAATAATATAATATAAGCTAGGTAATATAGAGTGGTAAAACGTTTTTATAGAAAAATATTAATTTTCAGTATGTATTCGGAAGGAGGTACAGTTCCATTTTATAGAATAGGAGTTTATACGAGCTCAGTCAAACAACAAACAATCAGTTTGTTAATAATAGGGGTTAAAGTATGAAATTGCCGATTGTTTATTTTTTAAATTTTTAACAAATTTATTTAATCAAAATAGTTGCCATTATTATCTATACATTGCTGCCATCTAATGGGAAGGTTATTAATGCCTTTGCGATAGAACTCCGACGATCTAGACTGCACAAACTGTGTGAAAGCATTTTGTACTGCCTCCTGGGAAGAAAACTTCTTGTCACGTAGATAATTGTCCAAATCACGAAAAAAATGGTAGTCCGTTGGAGCAAGGTCTGGTGAATACGGAGGATGACGAATGGTTTCTAACTGCAGTTCCTGAAGGGTCAAAATGGTTTCTCGTGCTGTGTGAGGTCTCGCGTTGTCGTGGAGCAATAATGGTGAAGATCGATTCATGAATCGGGGCTGTTTTACTGCTAGTTTTGTCCACATGGTTCGGAGTTCGGCACAATAGACATCTGCCGTTATTGCTTGACCAGATCGGAGAAAACTATAGTGAATAACACCATGCTGAGACCACCAAACAGTTACCATTACCTTTTTATTGGTAAGTTTTGCTTTAGGGTGTCCTAAAGCAAAACTTACAACAACAGTGTTGTTGTGGCATTTGACCTGGGGTCAGCCATTGCATTTTTCTTTTCCGGTTATCATAAAGAATCCACTTTTCATCACATGTTACAATTCGATCCAATATTCCTTCATTTCTGTACCGGTTCAACAAGGCAACACAAGTTTCAACACGCGTTTCTTTCTGCAGATCAGTCAAATCATGAGGCACCCATTTTTCGTATTTTTTTATTTTATTGATTTGACGCAAGTGAGTCAATATTGTGGGTAAGGTAACGTTATACCATGCCGCTAATTCCTGGGTAGTTTGACTAGGATCGGCTTCCACTATCTCTCTTAATTCATCGTTATTCACCTGTGTGGGCGGCCTTCCTCGTCGTTCTTTAAGTCGAAATTTCCATCACGAAAGCGTTTAAACCAAAATCGCACGGTGCGTTCATTAGTAGACCCCTCTCCAAACGCAGCATTGATATTGCGGGCTGTTTCTGCCGCGTTAGTTCCGCGTCGAAACTCGTATTCAAAAATCACTCGAATTTTCGCAGTATCCATCTTTCTTGTCTAAATTGAATAACAAAAACAATTGAAAGTCGATATTCAAATGTTTCAAAT